GCGAGACTCCATCTCCAAAAAGAAAAAGCAGCAAAATAAACTGTTAAGGTATTCCTACAACTTCACATTCAAGGTCCTACTACGGATTGCTTTTCCACTTAAAACTGTTCGACTGTTGCTAACAATATTGTGCTCTGCCAATAAGAGTGTTGGTGATGCAGCACTTCTTAAAATGATCCATTATTATTTATGGGATTTTCTTTCAAGGCAGACACACACTTCGCAATTTCTTCCACCTCCAGTTTTATTGTTTGGCATGAAACAACAATACAACAATGCACATACTCATTTAAAGTGATGACAAAATGAAGAGCCCTGACCAAGTTTGTGCATGTGCAGGCAATGATAACTACATCATGACTGCTGCCTAGACAACAGTGATTACAGGACACCATCAAAGATCTATTTTGATTTCAGATATGTGAAGATGTAGGGGGGAAAAGTGTACCTCAGAATCTATGTAATATGATGAGAGTTCAGCAAGGTTACTTGATTAATACATATAAGTCAACAGTGATCCTTATACATCAGCAATAATAGAAATTATAACTAAAAGAAAATCCTATTCACAATGACAACAAAATTACACAGTATCTAACAAAAATATATAATAAAAGTTGTGCAAGAGCTTTATGAAAAGTAGTAGCACATACCCAGAATTCAAATCCCAGCTCTATTAGCATTTATCTACACGAATCTATGTTTTTATTCTATAAATTTGAGGCAAATATAAAAATCCAACAGTTTTCACAGAAATTGACAAACTAACCCCAAAATAAGCAAAGGGAGGAAAACAGCTAAAATAATCCTGAAGGAAAAGTATATTAAGTTTTAATTATAAAGTCATTATTATTAAATCAGGATAATACAGATATTGAGATAGGCAAACAGGTCAATGAACTAAAAGAGAGAAACTAAAAACAGATACATATGCGGGAATATGATATACCTCAGGAGTTACATTACAAATCAGTGGTGAGAAATGCTGAACTATTTGATAAATCCACATGAAAAAGACATGATTCCTACGTCACACAATACAGAAAAAATTCCGGTGAATTAATCACTTAATATGAAAAAGCACAGTATCACTACAACCTTGGGGTAAGGGAAGAATTTATTGAAGACATAAGAAAACACAAGCCATAAATGAAAAAAATTGAGAACTGGCTACCATCATATTAAGAAGTCCTACATAAAAAATTTTCCACAGAGTTAAAAGCCAAGCCACAGACCAGAAAAAGATATTTTCAGTGTATATAATCACAAATTAGTATCCAGAATATAAAACCCATAAACCAGCCAGCCACAGTGGCTCACACCTGTAATCCCAGCACTTTTGGAGGCCAAGGAGAGCCGATCACTTGAGGTCAGGAGTTCGAGACAAGCCTGGCCAACATGGTGAAACCCTGTCTCTACTGAAAACACAAAAATTAACGGGGCGTGGTGGCAGGTGTCTGTTATCCCAGTTACTCAGGAGGCTGAGGCAAGACAATTGCTTGAACCTGGGAGGTAGAGGCTACAGTGAGCCCAGACCATGTGCCACTGCACTCCAGCCTGGACAACAGAGCAAGACTCCATCTCAAAAAAATAAAAATAAATAAATAAAACCCATATACCAATAAAGAGGAGGCAACAATCCAACAGAAAAATGGACCAAAGGTATATATGCACAAGCAATTCATAGAATACTCTGATGGCCAATATGGAGGAAAAAAAGGTCAACCTCACTAGTAATCTTAGAAATGCAAAATGCAAATACCAAGGAGATGCCATTTATACCCAACAGATTGGGAAAAAATTGCAAAATCTAATCCTTTGGCAGTGATTTGGAGAAACGGGATCAAACACAGCTGGCGGGAGTGTCAAATAGAAGACAATTTGCCACTTTGGCAATTCCCAGTAAAGTTGACAATGCACAGACTTCCTAAATGAAGCAATTCTACTTCTACTATATGTATATAATCCCAAGAAAGACAAACCATGTATAAGGATGTTCATAGCAGTAGTGTTTGAAATTCAGAAACTGCAAACAGCCTATCGGTCCCTCCAAAAATAGATAAATAAACCACAGTATATTTATACACTGAAATACAAATAAAATGAACGAACCAGACCAGCAGTTTTCAAACTTCGTGGTCTCAGGACTCCTTTGCATTCTTCAAAATTAAGGAGCACAATAAAATTTAAAAAACAAAACAATGCCGGGCGCGGTGGCTCAAGCCTGTAATCCCAGCACTTTGGGAGGCCGAGACGGGCGGATCACGAGGTCAGGAGATCGAGACCATCCTGGCGAACACGGTGAAACCCCGTCTCTACTAAAAAATACAAAAAACTAGCCGGGCAAGGTGGCGGGCGCCTGTAGTCCCAGCTACTCGGGAGGCTGAGGCAGGAGAATGGCGGGAACCCGGGAGGCGGAGCTTGCAGTGAGCCGAGATCTGGCCACTGCACTCCAGCCTCGGCGACAGAGCGAGACTCCGTCTCAAAAAAGAGAAAAAAATAAAAAAATAAAAATAAAAAACAAAACAAAAAACAAAAATTAAAGACCGTGAAGAGTTTTTATGTGGGTCGTATCTATAGATGTTCATCATACTAGAAATTAAAACTGAGACCTTTAAAAGCACTTATTAACCCATAAAAATACTTTTTTTTATTCTTTTTATCCCTTTTGTTGAGATATTTTTTATAACTTTTATTTTAGGTTGAGGAGTACACGTGAAGGTTTGTTACACAGGTAAACTTGTGTCACGGGGGTTTGTGGTACAGATTATTTCACCACCCAGGTATTTAAGCCCAGTACCCAATAGTTATCTCTTCTGATCCTCTCCCTCCTCCCTCCCTTCACCCTCTAGTAGACCCCCAGTGTCTGTTGTTTCCTTCTTTATCTTCATCAGTTAGCTCCTACTTGTAAGTGAGAATATTCAGTATTTGATTTTCTGTTCCTGTTAGTTTGCTAAGGATAATAGCCTCCAGCTCCATCTATGTTTAAGCAAAAGACATGATCTCGTTCTTTTTTATGGCTGCATATATTTTAAAATAACTATTTTTCTAAACAAAAAATAATAATAAAACGAGTGGCACTGTTTTACATTTCTGCAAATCTCTTTCATGTCTGGCTTAATAGAAGCCGGCTGGATTCCCATAAGTGTTTCTGCATTCCATCCATTATGATACCATATGTCATGCAGCCTCTGTACAGTATTGCTATAGTATACACGAAAATGTGGGTGAAAAGGGCAAATAAAAAGTATTATGAAAATAGTTTTGACTTCATGGACCCCCTGAAACAATCTTAGGGATCCCCAGGAATCCCTGGAGCACACTTTGAAAACTGCTGGACTAGATAAACACATTGCATGGATAAATCTCAAAAACACACTGTTAAGTGAAAATAATATATAAGGTATGGTTATGATACTGTTTATGTAAAGTCGAACACACAAGCAATACCTGATATTGTTTTGGTACATACATGTTGGTACAAGTGGTTACTTCTGGTGAAAAGAAGACAGAAAGAGGATGGGGAGGGACCCTTTCAATCTGTGAGATTTTATTTCTTTAAATAACAAAAAGATATGAATCAAATATGTAGCAAAACATTAAGAGCTCTTAAATCTGGGTGATTCTGATTTTCAGTAATTTTAAAATATTCCATAACACTTTTTAAATATATTTTTTAAATGCCTAATGGCTGTGTACTCAAGGCCACACAATTTCCTTAGAGTATACTTCCTTTGAGTAAAATACAATTACAAGATACCTGGGTTTTATAAAATGTTGTCTGGAAAAATAATTTGGCAGGAATAAGAATAGGCTGGCCATATTCCAATCAGATAAGGGGTGGCGGGAGGGGGTTACTCCTTGACCTGGTGCCCTAATAAGTGTGCCTTAATATGTATATCCCTTAGTCAAAAAACACACTGACTGGATACCTGATTTTGAACAGCTGAAAACTATTCAACTACATAAAATTCTCTGCACCCAATAACTGAAATGATTGCTTTTAGAGATAATGGTCCATATGCCAGGTACTGCTTGGAGACAAAGATAAATGAGAACTTGTCTCTATATTCACAGTATAGAAGAGAAAAACATAAACACCGTTCAAATATAATACATTAAATGCTAAATTAAGGGGAATCCCACCATAGAAGACAGAGAAGGCACAGAGCTTCTGAAACACAGAGCACTTTTACATAATACACCTGTTAACATGTTGTGCAAGTTTTCCAATTTGGGAAATACTGGATTTAAGAATAAGTGGGATGAAAAGAAAGTGAAGATAGGTGAGGTTTTTGTAAGATGAGCAAACCTAGGAATATTTGTAAAGAGAGGATAATGATGCAAGAGACGGCATCACGGACAGAGCTCCGTCCCTAAGGAGGCAGCCACGGTGAAGAGCACGCGCAGAGCAGCAGTGGGGCCTGGGAGAGAGCAATCCCTCCCGCAATCCCCCCTGCGGCAAAAGGAGGAAGGCCTAGGTGAAGACAGAGGAAAGGCACGAAGCGGAAGGGAGGGAGACTTGGCTCTTTATCAGATGGCCATCTACCCTTCTCAGTGAAGCAAAAGATTGGGTAATCTTTGCTGAAGGTGAGAGATTTCAAGGACCAGTTGAGTAGTTTCAAGAGTGAAAAAAAGTTTGGAATTGCCAGCGTACACAAGAATAAATAATACAAAGAAGATTATCAGTGACAGTATCAGTCTAGATGGGTTAAGTGAGAGGAAGCATTTGCAATGAGAGTAAGCATTTACAAAAAGCAATGTGGAAAAAAACATTGTAACACATTCTTGAGCATGTTTTCTTAAAAAAAGAAATCTGCATCTATCTGAAAAATACACAGAAATTAAAAACTAACACCTTATTTATCCAGGGTGGTTGGATTCGAAGGTGTTCCACCAGTCAATTTTCCAAAGTTTCCCAAAGTTTCAAGGTCTACCCTTTCAGGCAGAAATAATTTTATATTTAACCATTTCTAATTGAAACTAAACTACACACTTACCTGTCTTAATCACACAAACTTGACTCTAATCTTAATCTTGAACATCCACTGTTGCTGTACTGGGCAGCAAAACAATTCTATCTTCTTAATAGTTCTTCTATGTCTTTCCCAGCTGTCAAAATATAAAAGCACCTGGTTCTTCTAAGTTTATGTTTACCCTTAACACCTCAACAACCACAGCCCGCCTTCGCAACTTACTTCTAGTCAGCCTCATGCAATGCACTGTTTCTCGAACTTTTCTAAACCACAGCCCTTTATAATAAACATGAGACTCTCATTCCCTCCAGCCCTTTCATGGAGCACTGCTGCTCATGACCTGTTACGGTCTAGAAAAACGGAAAAACTGAAAATGGGTATCTATGCCACCTAAAGGTTTACATCATAAAATTGTAGGAAACAGGCAGGGCACGGTGGTTCACGCCTGTAATCCCAGCACTTTGGGAGTTCAAGGCAGGCAGATCACTTGAGGTCAGGAGTTCGAGACCAGCCTGGCCAACATGAAACCCCGCCTCGTGGTAGGGTCCTGTAGTCCCAGCTACTCAGGAGGCTGAGGCAGGAGAATCACTTGAACCCGGGAGGCAGAGGTTGCAATAAGCCAAGATCACACCACTGCACTCCAGCCTGAGCGAGATTCGGTCTCGGAAAAAAAAAAAAAAATTACCACGGGAATACTCATTTCTCATTTTCGTCAAATAATCCACAGCACTAGTCCTGTACTTTCCAACTATGGTAAATCAAATGTTAGAAACTCCTCCCTATTTGTGTACCATAGAAATTCTGACAACTCTGAGCAAAAGATTATTTCGGATGAGAAATCACGACAGAAAAAAGGAGCAGCTGTCTTAACAGAGACGCATCGTTCCAAAAGTAGCAAAATTTGCTTAACTTCTGAACATTCTTGTAATCGTTCTGATAAAAAAAAAAAAAAAAAAAAAAAAACCACTCATCAACTTACTACTCTCATTATTTTTCAACTCTGAAACTTTTCCTAGTCCAATGCAACTACTAAGTACCGTAAAGCACAGCTCAGGGAACAGACAGCAGTGGGAGGCGGGCAGTGGGAGGCGGGAGAACGGCTTGAGCCCAGGAGTTCGAGACCAGCCTGGGGCAATATAGCAAGAACCTGTCTCAAAATAAAAAATAAATAAGTAAATTACAAGGTGCAGCTCAGGTGTGCCGTCACTCTTCTAGTTGAGGGCACCCCTGCTGCCTCCCCCATTGAGTATAAGACCCTTCACCTGGCAAGCAAGCTCTTCTGCAATCTAACTTTTCTAGCCTGAATTCCCACCACTCCCCTACCAATACCATCCACTTTTGCCAAACTGTAAATACTTACTGTTTACTGAAGAAGCTTCACCCTTGAAACGTCCTTTCTCCACCTCCACCTCTACCTAACAAAGTCCTACCCATCCCTCGGTAACCTTCTCAAAATGCCACCTATTAATACTTCAGGAACCCGTCCCTCCCTGATCCTCCAATGGGAATCTTGCTTCCCTCGGAAATCCCAGTAATTAGTTGTACCTCTCACTTTACTGCATTTCACCTTGCCCCACCTACCTCTAAACATAAGACTTCTTGCAGCCACCGTCTGCATTACAAGAACCTTTTTAATGTTTCTTAGCATCTAGCACGGTGCATCGCTAACAGTAGGCTCCCAGTTTATCAAGAAAGTTGTACAGTGTGCAATAAAAAAAAGTACGTTAGGAAATGAAACTCCGCCTTAAAACTTCACAAATGAAAAATCGAAATAACATGACAGACAAATGCACAATATGCACCACACTAAGTTGTCCACCAATACGAAAATAGAAAACGTCTGCCCTTCTTATTCCTCAATCAAAAAAATACCACTAACAGATCACTAATTGCTTAAATCGTGTTTCAAGAAAGTTGTTTCCACATAAATGAGTACGAATGATTCAAAATTTCATTCCTCCGCTTTCGTGTTGTGTAATTTTTTTTCCTATAGGACAAAAGAATGGCAAAACTTTCCCATCAATCTTTATTTTTCTTTATTCAGATACTCGGGGCGGTAAAGATTGTTGGGAAAACAACCGCATCGAAAACACCTTAGCAGCCACATAGATTTGACTTAAGCAAAAATAACATTTCCTGGGGTCCCCGTATGCCCTGTAAGCTCAGGTGTCCGGACTGCCACCTGCCCCGACTGCCCTCGGGTGGCTACAGGCGCGGGGTAAAGGCGCAGTGCCGGGGGCGCTGAGAGTGAAATAGTCCCGGCGCCCGGGAGGCGGCGGTCGCCGCCTGCGGCAGCTCAGCTGAAACGCAGCGGAAACTGCAGCCAGTCACGGGGCTGCGGAAGGCAAGGCAGGAAGGTGGCGCTGCCGCCGAGCGCCTGGAGCCCGAGCGCTCATCATGGCGGCAAGGGCAATGGCCGCCACGGGGAGCGAGCACGCCCCTCCGCGCGCACACGCCAACGCGCCGGGCCTCCGGGGCCCGTCACCGGCGCCGCTGCTGCCGCCACCCGCTCTCCCACCCCCCCTCACGGGCTGTAGCGGAATTTTCTCTCCAGACACCGCCTCCAAGATGGCGGCTCCCCCTCCCGGCAACCCCCTCTATCGTCCCCTGCAGCAGGCGCCGAGCCGCCGCCATCTTGTCCCCCGTCCCTCCCCCCCCTCACCGATATTTACATAGCGAAAATCGGCCCGGCCGGCCTGCGGCCTTCACCTCACGCCTGCAGCCTTCGCCTCCTCGCCAGGCCTCACCCCGGCGCGGTGCGCCGGGTCGGCCGCGGAGCCGACTCGGGGCCCCTCGGCCGCCTCCGGCACAACCGGGCGACCCTCCCCCAACCCCCGCCCGCTTACGGAGCGCGCCTCCGCCGCCGCTCGGGGCAGCCGGGCTCCTCCCCGGGCCTAACTGCGGCCTCCTCGGGGCCTGCTCGGCGCCGCACGCCACGCCGCCCGGCCTAGCGCGGGAGGGCCCCTTTCGGGCCGCCGACCAGGCCAAGACCAGGCCGCTGTGCGCACACTAGGCCCCGCGGCCGCGGCGGCACCCGGGACTCACCGGACGGGCGTGCGGGCGGCCGGCGACGGTGGCGGGTGCTGCAGGCCGGCCTTTCTCTGGAGCACTGGGCCGGGCTCCGGCTGGTGGGGCGGGCGGAGGGAGGGAGGAGGGGCCGAGCTCGGAGCTGACAAAAAGCGGCCCAGCTCCCCGGCACGGGCCCGCCGTCAGCACGTCACGTCACCGCCCGGGAGAGAGACCCAGGAAAATGCGGAAGGGTAGACAGGCCCCCTCCTCCGCCCGGTGGGTCCCTCTGGCGCCCCGGGTCGGCGCCGTTCCCGCCCCGCGACCGGGGAGCCCAGTGGCCTCGCTGCGGCGGGGTCTCCGGCGGCCGGAGTCTCAGTGACAGCGCCCCCCTTCTTTCCACCTCCTCCGCGCTCCCGCCCGCCGCCGCCACACACGCGCCGCTGCCGCCGCCTCGGCCGTAAAGCCCGCGCGGGGCCGCGGTCGGCGGACCCCGCGGAGAGGCAGGCGGCCCGGCCGCCCCCCACCATGTCCCGTGGGCCGCGGCCGCCCCCCGGGGGCCTCCCCGGAGACCTACCGCCTCTCGCGCCAGTCCTGGCCGAGGCTCCAGCTCGAGTTGTTTGCAGGCCCTCAGACCCCCGCCCGCAGTAAATGTGTTTTCTTCATCCCCGTGGCTGGGGAGGAAGATAAATTTAGCAACCCCCGCCGTCCCCTGCCTTCGCTTTAAAAAAAAAAAAAAAAAAAAAAAAATCTTTGAAATAAAATGAAAACGGGCTTGCCAATCTAAAAGGGTGTGCAGGAAGGGGGGTGGAGTGGGGGGAGAAGGGTTATCCCTAGAGCACCTACCAGGCCGTCTACTTTTTAAAAATAAGCAGTCAGAGAGCCAAACTGATTTTATTAGTTTGTACGGGGGAGGGAGATGAACAAAGTTGCATTTTGAAACGTTTCGCACGTTGCAAAGAACAGGAATTTTCTGTGTATTTTCCTATGTACCCGTGTTTCAGAGCTTGGGGAGCCTGTGAAATGTAAGACTGGTGTCATCGTTTCATAAATCATGAATTTTCCACATTCCTTAATAGAGAGGAGCCCAATTGGGTATGGATTTTTTTTTTTTTTTAAACAAACTGCTTAAACAAGCCTTTTGAAGTTTCAAAAGACTTGGGAGAGAAGAGGAAAATGATTAAACAGCACTTACCAACTTCAAAAATGTGCATTTTGCACTTTACTTAGTTTAAATGTTTATGCTATCTTTCCATGCTGAACTTGGAACCCAAACTGTTTTAAAGTTACTAGGGAAAAGTTAAATAGTGGAGTCTTTACATTAATCTGGAATCTAGCATGCTATCCTTCCACACAGCACTAAATGTTAAAAGACATTTGTAAACAATAAGAAACACAAAAATTATAAAGCAAATAGTATACTAGTGTGAAATCTCTAAATACAGAGGCCACGTATTTTAGTTGCCTGACATAACTCTTTAAAACTCCCAGAATGCAATTTGTCCCTTCCCTCAGACATCTCTCAATCACAAATGCTTTCAAAAAGGAAAAACAAAAGTAGAGTAAGAAGAAATCTCTGAGCATGCACTGGATGGTAATTTTCCTCGCGGGGCTTTAGTCTGAATTTTTCCAAGCGATTAAATTTCCTTTCAAAAATAGTAACAGCATGTATTCATTGGTTATAAAAATTACATCAGGCTGTGATACAGACTTTCACAGAAATTTTACAGAAAGGTAAGTGAAATTAAGCAATGTTGTGTCAATCAAAAAAAAAAAAAAAAAACGAGAAATAGCTTGTGTGCCCACATTAATACTTCTTGCACTCCCAGGCTGGAGTGCAGTGGCGCCATCTCGGCTCACTGAACGTCCGCCTTCCGGGTTCAAGCGTTTCTCCTGACCTAGCCTCCCAAGTAGCTGGGATTACAGGCGCGTGCCACCACACCTGGCTAATTTTTCTATTTTTTTAGTAGAGACAGGGTTTCACCATGTTGGCCAGGCTGGTCTCGAACTCCTGACCTCAGGTAATTCACCCGCCTCGGCCTCCCAAAGTGCTGGGATTACAGGTGTGAGCCACTGTGCCTGGCCACCCACATTAATATTTCAAAACATTGATAACCAGCGTTTAAGTACTTTCCAAAGGCCTCAGTTTGATGCTACGGAATGGCAAGAATGGAAGCCAGGTTCCCTGGCTCACTCCTGTAATCACAGCATTTTGGGAGGCTGAGGCGGGAGGATCACTTGAGCCCAGGAGTTCAAGATTAGCCTGGGTAACATGGTGAGACCTCGTCTCTATTAAAAAAAAAAAAAGAATAGAGCCTCACTTCATCATCCATGCAACTGTAAGCAGCATGTTCAAGACAGAAAAACCTAATGTCACCATTATTGTTAGTTTTTCCATAATTACCATCAAATACTTATACATCCACCAGTGTAAAGCACTTAAGAAAACAGTGTCCAAGGCAAGCATAAAAGAAAAAGATATTTTCTCAGTTTAAAAGATCACAAGTAGTTTAGGGATTGATACTTTCAAAAAGCCCTTTGTCATTACTTTTCATACAGGAAGAGACTGTTAACTTGGGTGGGAAACAAAGAAAGGATGGCCTAGTTCTATTAGATTAGATAAACCTTTATGAAAGTCCAGCAAACTTTATAAAGTCCGGTTATTTTATAGATGACTATACAGATAAGGTCAACTATATTTTCTTAAGTTTAAAAAAAAAAGTAAAGTAATTTGTACTTTAAGCCCATTTATGGAAGTCTGTAAAGAACATTGTTAAACTGGTAAAAGAACAATGATAAAAATCATTTCACTAGAAGTACACTTAGTATTATACTCATGATAAAGTGAAGATGAAAAGGAAGCGTAAACAGCAGAGCTCAGAAATGGTTTGATGTGATAAAATACAAAATGCATTTTATGAAAGTACTCACAATAGGACCTTGAGGACACCTAAGATCCTTGAAAGCATTTGGTAATTAAGCACCAGACATCTAGCACTTAAAGGACCTACTGCAGCCTATCTTGCCTTGATAATTTTGATAATTGTTTTCGTATTAGGCACCTTTAGAATTCTGGGCGCAGGAAGTAACAAAGATGTGCTTGCCCTCGGGGAACTCGAATAAGGAGGCTGTGTAAGGCAAAATAAAAACATTCCTAAGTACTTTCATTTTCTCAAGTAAACATAATAAAAGGAAATTTTATCTAGGGAGGTCGAGAGCAGAACATTTCAAAAGACAATGCTGTGAATACAAAATAGCTGGTTTTAAAGCAGTAAAAGGAATTTTGATTACGTGCTAAAATGTATTTGTTCCTTCGGAGCTGTTAATGTACATCAGATAGTTAAAAGCATTTACTCACGGTTTTGACAGTGTTTTAATAACTTAACTAAAAATCTCTGACATGTTTATAGGTCCTTGAGCCAGAAACGATAGAAGGCCTTTCAATCATTTTCCCGGAGAAAGATTAGTCAAAAAAGAAGCTGTTGATTTTCACTCCACATCAGAGACTGATGGGAATTCAAATAAGAAGTAATACATTATTGGCTTATGAAAATATGTACACCTTCTTGAATAAAGTTGTGATCATTCTTTTTGTTTGTTTTTTGTATCCCAAACATTAAAAAATATTTATCTTCCCCCAGAAAGGCCCTAGTTTTATTGAACTAAGCATGCCCTATAAAAATTAACCATTTATCTGATACCTGATAGTTAGGTTATACTTAGCGTGAGCAAGTTGCATCTTCTGTTGGAATTCAGTTGGCCATAATTAATGCTAATTAATAATTTTTCATCTGAGCCTGTAAGCCACACACTCTCCCCAAGGAGAATAATTTTAAAATAAACAATGACTGGCAAATAGGTGATTTTCAAGCAGTGCTTTTTACATGAGTCATTAGTTGAACAAGACATTGTTTAATTCCTGAATATAATAGTCAAATTCTTCATGGATTATAAATCACAGGGCATAGCAAACAAACTAGCTCCACTAAAGAGATTTAAAAAAATCAATATAGAGACCTAGAAACAATGAGCAGTAGCATTGAGCACCTCTGGTGTCCAAGTTGGGGCCTCTACAGTTTTCCACCAAAGGAATGGGAGAAGTGATTGATTCCAGGGCTGGAGCAGGAAAGTATAAGATAAGCCAGGAACAACTCCTTATAGCAGAAAGCAAAAGAAGAAAGTATCTAAGCTTACTAGGAGTGTGTTAAAGTTTTCAGGAGCCAGTTTAAGGAGGCTCCGGTTGTCTAACGTTAAGAAAATTTGAATGTCAAAAAAATAATTGCTATGGATTGAAACACAGTGGATATATTAATGAATTTATGAGACTTTAAAAATGATCAACTAGTGGTGATGGTTGCACAACGTTGTAAATGTACTAGAAATTAGTGAATTGTATGTATGCTTTAAAAGGGCGAATTTGATAGTATGAGAGTCATATTTCAATTTTTTTAAATGATCACTTTTGGAGAATGCTAGGGAACCAATATTTTGAAAACCAGTAAAGGCAAAGAGA